GTGACACTCACACTCACATAAAAACAACACCAACATTGAGAGATGCCAAAGACCCAAGCCACACTGCCAATGCTAATCCTGCTACAATCACTTTGAGGAATCCGAAGCATTACATAAAGCACTATAGTAAATATTACATAACACACAACAGAATTGAATGATTCAGACTTGGACCTTTAAATGCATTTAAGTGAGGCCTGTGGAAAGACACTGGCTAAAAATGAAGATGCCGAGTCATTGTCTGAGGGTTTAAAGCCGAATTGAGAGACAGAGCAGGGCAGTGGGTTAATAATACTGGTGCTCTGCTTTCTATCTCTCAACGTGCATTGTTTTTAAAATGGACAGTACAACTCCTATTTTCAATCTCACTGCTGGGCCAAATTCACATTGTATGATCATAAACTGAAAGCTTACTGTATCAGTCCATCAAATTCCCAATGCATGGCTTTACAGAAAGATTGAATCTTGCACATCTTTCAAGCAGATTATCAAATATCAAATCTAGGTTATGGGCAAAACTATAAATAGCATACATAATCCTAGCAATACTACATAACACACTCTCCAGCTCTCCTAATGTAAAAGTGGTCGTTTTAAAGACATATGTAAATATATACTCACGTTGCAGCGTGCTCTCCAGCTCCGAGCCTGCCTGCAAAAGGTTGTAATAGCCCTCCATGTCTTTCAGGGGCTCGTGAGGAGAGGCCGAGCCCATTCCCTGGCTGTACCCGGAGAGGAGTGACTTGACTCTGGGCCTGTCAGGCCCTCACATCCTACTCCACCAAGGATTCATTTCACCACCTCCACAGATCAGATCCCAGCTGAGGCTCCACTTCAGTTCTGTGCCTAGCATGAACTCCTCAAGTCACCTTGAGACGGAGCAAGTGCATCCACTAACTCTTGCAGCACAGACAGGCCCCCGCTGGAGGAAACGCTATCTGGAATTATCTACTGGATGGCAAACAGCCTGCTGCAGCTGGTGAGCACTGCAATATCACATCTCAGCTTTTAAAACAAACACACACACGGGAGGGGCAGAGAGGATGAAGTCCTGTCCCAAAAGTGAATCGCATTAAAAGGGTTTCCTGTCCACAGTGCTGACGGTCCGCTCCCTTTAAACACATCACACACACTCCATCCGGCTGCAAACTCCTGTGAGATAGAGTGCGTCAGATCTGCATCGCTGTAGACTATACATAGTTCCCACAGGCAAAAAAATTGTCACGTGACCTCCCCGGAGACGCCATCTTTGAGGGCAAAACCGCTGTGTTTACCATAGGCGTTTACAACGTTTTATCAGAGAATGTCGTTTTACAAACAAATATTTATGTCTGTTTATATTGTTATGCAAATCATGAAAAGACAAAGTGTAATAGATTATAAAGAGACTATTAAAACAAGACATAGAGAGGTACAATGCGAAAATTTCATTCATAAATGGTGTGTATCCTTATGCAACAAAAGAAGCACTGAGCACCGATTATGCAACTTTGCCTCAGATACAGTATTTTCATGTGTACAATTATCTGGTATTGGTGAGGAGTTTTTACACATGTGAGCAATTCCAAGCCTGGAAATCACTGGAGGTGTACGATCAGATTGACGTGGGGTTGGTTTGGTGACGTTTGCTCAAGTGCAATCAATGGAAAAGTAACTTAAGTCATCATAGCGAAGTAGCATGATGCTAATCTGTCTATTAAAAAGCCATAGCCTGCACAACTTAATTCCTATGTTCCCCAGTCACCGGTGATTTCTGTAATATGCATGTACTTGCGGGCGTCATGGTTCGGTGCATGAATATTAAAATAAATAACTCGCGTGCAATTTAATTAATGTAATAAATGAGGAACTACATTATACGCGGGATCTTTAGGGACATAATCTGAGATTGTAATGCTGGAATGTGAGATCGAACAGTGGAAACAATGTTGTTTAGTATGTTTTTAATACCTCGTCATTTTGTTCATACAGGACATTATTCAAACTGCAATGTGTTAACTTATATTTATTTACACTCGCAATAAAACAACATTGTGCTTTTGTCAAACAAATTCTTGCGTGTTTTGAGTGAGTTTCTTTCCTGTTTATGCTCGCCAGCCATAATCTCCGTCGTTGTTCGGACAAAAGCTTAGTCTTCTCACATCCATATGGAGTCTAATGACGGGTATAGTGTAAAATCCCGATTTAACTGAACATCCGGCACGATTTTATCATCCATTGACTCAGCAAGAGATGACCATTTTCACTTTATAGCACGAAACTCATTTCACTTCGTTCAACTCGTATTGCTTCTTCTTATGTTTTGCCCTAAGCAATGGCGCCGGGTCGGCAAATGCCCGTATGTTGTGACGTCATGTGGGAACTATGTATTGACACTCTGCCAACTCCCTCCCCATTAACTTACTCCACTGTGGAGTTTAGGCCCCGCCCACTGCTGATCTCCACCCTCCTCATTGGTCGGTTTTCCCTCATAGGCAGAGACTTTCTCAGAATCTCTGCATTCTGTATTATACCCATTCTCAGCCATACAAGCACACACACACAAACAGGCAGGCTGTTCTGAATATCACTTGACAGCAAAACTATTTTTTCTTCCAAGACTAGTGAACTGTATTCTGAACAAGTTTCATTGTTCAGAATACAGAAAAGTATGACGCGTGGGAAAATTGCACAAAGACAAACAGCTACATGAATAAGAGGCATTGTTATCAAAGAACACTCTATTAATGCTTCTACAACCATCCTATGTCCATGATAGACTGCTGGTTTGAAATAGCATATGGCATTACACTATTTATTATACGCATCAATTAAATAAAAAATATACGATTTTATTTGTGTTATAATACAAATAAAAGAGCAATACCAACAAAACATGGACAATAACGTTATCAAGATTTTACTTTTTATTGTGAACTTCAATTATGAACATTTTTAGGATTTTAGGTAGAAATGTATAAATATATAAATATATAATTATTATTAAGAAATCAGTAGCCTATTTATTTTTGAATGCTTCTGATTGGTCAATCACACCATCTAGGTAGGCTATGTTATTGCACCATAACAACCTCTGAAAACCTGAATGTTCTCTATCAACAGCATTTTTGGTAATCATAACCCCTTAACCTCCTTTTTCACTGGAATGCCCTCTATAGCTTCTAAATCACAATTATGGATAGCCATTAATTTACACTTTTTAAAGTTTAGGGTCAGACCTGATGCCTTTGAAAAAATATTAATTTGATCAATAACTAATGGAAGCACCTCTTTATTTTTAAGAAATAAAAGGATGTCATCTGCAAATTGGCTTATAGTAAAGGTTCTACCGAGAATGTCTATGCCTACATTGTCCTCCATTTTTTTTTAAATAAATAAAGACTTCAATTCGACTGCAAGATTAAAAAGTAATGGTGACATCCCTGGCGGATTCCTCGTTTAATTTGAATTCCGGGTGATGAACCTAATTTAAGGGAAATGCTACTGAAAATATCATTATAGAACATGGAGATCACTCTACAAAACATATAGGACCAAAGCCAAACATTTCTAATGATTTGAAAAAGGGTGTTCAAGGGTATCAAATGCCTTGAAGAAGTCTAGAAATAAAAGTAAGGTTTTGATAAAGTATGCAGTGCTATACCTATTGGATTGCTAAGAATAATCCAAAGTAGTTTTCTTGATCCTTTAGCTAGACCTGTATCCCTTCCCTCTTTAAAAATATGTAATGTAGACCTCTTAGACAGTAAGTGTAACAACAAACTTATTTACAAAGAACTCAAACGTATTGTCACTGGTGATTATCAGTGCTATTTTTTGGGTGATGTCGAAACCTCAGTGAAGGATAAAGCTTTTACCTGCTATATGGCATACCCAGTTGCTCCGAAGGTCAAGGAGACTCATTACAAAATTATGTTTAAGGTTTACCCAGTAAATGATTTCATGCAGAAACGATTTAATTTCGAGGTGGAACCTTGTGGCTTTTGTTCTTCTAGTCCTGAAACACTCGATCACCTTTTCTTTTATTGTCAGATTACTTCAAAATTTTGGTTTGATATACATAGCTGGCTGTCAGTAAAAATGGAGACGGTTCCTCCTATAGCCCTGCAAGATGTGCTCTTTTTAAAGTGTGATTTAAACTTACACTTCATTGATGTTGTAAATTTTGTTTTATTGATGGGTAAATATCATATCCATACTTGTAAATGGAAAAAATGTAAGCCCTCCTTTAATATATTTCTATGTGATTTTCCTCAAATGTTTCAGAGCTTCAAATACTTCAAAAAACGTAATAGAAAGTTTGAAACTTTATGTCTCTCTTTATCAAAATATTTACTTTTTTAGTATTTTAATTCCTTTCATGTATACTGGCTGTGTGATTGTCTTGACCCTTGCTTCCCCCAAAAATCCATACTCTGTATTGATCTAAATGGAAGTGTCTTACAGTTTTGTTTGTTCCCTGTCTTGTTCTGCACTCTCAGAAAAAAAGGTACAAAAGCTGTCACTGGGGCGGTACCTTTTGAAAAGGTACCGTACATTATCCCCTACCTATTCACGTACACTTCTACATAAAACCTTAATGTTCATGAATAAAAGTTGAAGTTCACAGTTAAAAACATTATTATTAATATTACTTTATTACTAAAGTATTATTATTATTAATTAAGATATAGTTATTCATATACACACACACAAAAAAAAAATATATACAAAATAATAACAAAACATCACATCAGGCCCTGTAACTGGCTACCGTATCTTTAAAATTTTTATTTAAATTATTTAGCTTGTTTTGTCGATTAATGTGTCTCTATGGCATGACCAATTCATTTTTAAATATACAAATTATTTAATGTGGTTTCATTTACTTTAAAGCCCTGTAAATTGCATTACACAAGGATTAGAAAAGAAAAAAAAAAAACCCCAATAAAAACAATAACAACATCAGAGAAATCCTAGGAAAAAAAAAAAAAAGGTAAAAAGCATCAGACACAAATGTCTTCTTTCAAAACAGCTTTTATTTAAGAAAAGTTTGAAACAGACTGGTCTTGAGAGGTACATTCAGATCAGCTGGAGCCTGAGGGACATGATGGAGGGAGCAGGGCTGACCAAGTTAGTGCCTGATTCATTTCACAGCAACACACCTCAGCCCTGCCTCACGCTCCACAATCAGGCTGCCTTTTTTCGTTGTTTTTTTTTTTTTTTGATTTTCTTTTTCTTACAAAAAGTGGCTCAAAAAGTTTCATTAAAAATACAATCAAATAATTTCATATATATTTATATATATTCAGGCAACATGAGAATCCAAGAATTATCATAAGCTTTGAAAATAGCATCTCTGAAGTAATTTAAAGGTCTGTTTGGAACTTTCAAACATTGCAGGCAAGTTCCGTTTACCCCTCTTAAACTGAGCTGAACAAACACATGAATGTGAAAAAGAAAGAGAGAGAGAGAGAGGGATTCATGTTCACACTAAAACATCACCCCAACTGGCCTTACATGTCTAGTTGATAAGCAAATAGAGCTCTGATATATTTTCTCTGGAAAGCTAATTCATGATGTAATCAGAAATGAAAAGAAGGCCTGGTGGTTATGCTGGGCTGTGATACAGCTGGATTAAACCCGGCCCAAGATTTGGAGCTGAGCTTAAGATGCTTAGCATCATGACACAGTCAGAGGTCTAACACACACCACTTCCCCTTGGATAATCCACACACACACTTGGAGATACAGTAGTTGAAGCTGGAATGGGGACATTTTTCATATGGCATTGTTTTAAGAGAAATATAATCAAGAAACACACTGGCTCTTCTAACACCCAGTTTGGGCAACAAGCAAAAAGAAGAACATATTAAAGGGACACAGAGATTTCAGCTGCATTCACACCATATAGGACATATCGGACTGATCTCTTATCAGAGAAAGAGCCCAGAGCTGCTGGTCTACAGGTTCTGCTCAGGCTTACAAGAAATAGAAACCCAATCTGTTCAACAGCGGATTGCACAAGCAAAAAAAAAAAAAATCAATTGGCACAAGCTGATAATGATTAATTTAAGAGAAGGAAATTCTTCTAACAAAAATATAACATTTATGCGTATAATTACAAGGTACAATAAATATGTAAAAAAGAAATCACATAGTAAGAATAAAATAATTCAGTTATAATCTTAAAGGTGATGAAATCATGACACATAGAAATGGAATGTATTCAGAATTGAAGAAAGTAGAATGAAGATCCATTCCCTCCTAACCACTAGGGGGCAAACATGAGTTTTAATAGGCATGTGGACCTACAGCTCCTATTTCACTGACCTAAGCTCCACCCCTTTTAAGTGATTCATTCAGTAACTTCAAAACAGTAAAACGCATGCATACGGACGTTTTTGAGTTCTGGCTTATTTAGAGCAGTGAAGCTCACTCCTAAATACACAATTAACTTTGCTTTGAGGACTTAGCATGTGCCGTTTCCACGCACAATTCACCTTCAAGGAAAAATGGAAGAGAGATGGTTGCTTTTTTTTGGCATCAAGTAATTATTCCCACATTTCACCAGTAACATTTCTTACATCTATAATCCAACTGTAAACTGATCCCCGTTTCAACAAAGAGTAACAATGAAAACTGACAGTACGTTTAGTACGATTTTTCACACGTACATGTACAGAGTTGTCGGGCACCGTGGGATATCCCAGAACTCCATGTGGTGTAACAAACAGCAAGTTGTTGAAAGGCAGCTTTAATACCCATAGGGTCAGTGCCCTCAGTGCAGCATCTTAGAGAGAGCTCACATTTAGGGATCTCGAACAGCTACATATCACGAAACTCAAAACTACGATCTGGGATTGTGATCACACGTGTTAACCGATCACAAAAGGGACCCGACTATCTGCTAACAAAGTAACCAGAGAGCATGTTGACGAAGGAAAAGGGTATTTATAGGACTTTTTTTTCTTTTAGGGGGTCATGCAACATTACATTCTGCAGCAGTTGAGCGCTACAGACAACTTCTTCAGCGGCACATTTATCCCGGTACTGTTCAATATGAGAGTATGGCAGTAGGGCAGGGCAGAAAACGTTGTCACATGGAATCGTTCTGAGATGAGAGGCTTTGAGAGAAGTGAAAGGACATGACAGAAAAGGTGGAAAGAGGACTGCTGGATCAAGGACTGGTTTGAGCAGTTTAAGGTGGTTCCAAATGCCATGTTGCTTTTAAACAGGCAGGAGGAAGGGCAGCGACCCTGGAAGATGTGAGGGTCCCATCAGTAGTCTTAACCCAAAGCTGTCCGTGTCCATCAGTAGCGCTCCATCAGATGCTTATAGGAGAGGGGTGTGACAGCAGCCATCTGTGGTGTACACAGGGGAAAAAAAAAAAAACACCACACAAAATTGTTTAGCACATCTGTAAAAAAAAAAAAAAAAAAAAAGTAGCAACAATGTGTCGATCTCTTATTTGATTGATTTGTCAAATATAACCAACCCAAACATAAACCCAGACAATTCTGTACACATTAGCAACCTTAAATCAATTCAAACAGATCTGCACCAATGACCATCCTAATCACAGGAGGATCTGGTTGTCAGGAATGATTCGCTCACATTATTAGTCCAAATAAAATGCGGATTTGAATCCTGGTTCATGGAATGTCCTGGATTTAAAACAAGTCCACTACATCTCAGATGCTGTCAATTACCACGGACATTAAACGGGCAATGCACTGCGGGCAAAATGGGCTTTTAATTAAACTTGACTGTGAAATCAGTGCTACATGAAAAGCAAAAATAAAGTAAACGGGCTGTGGCATTCTCTTTTGCTAAAACACTTTCATACCTATAATTCGCTTTTGATTTTGCATTTACAAATGCATTAGCAACTACCAATGGAAGACTATAATTAACATTTATATCTTTCATACAAAATGTGTTATTTGTCCTATAAAAGTGACAAAAACTGTTCAACGAATTGTCAGATGAATGCTTGGTAATGCATTACCGTCGGTAAACGTAGAGTAGATGCTATCCAATATCAATTTGTGTTGAACCCAGAACATTCCTTAGATCATATTGAGCACTTTACCTGTCTGTGTAAGTTGAAGTTTCCTCTGACAGCTGAGAAGAACAGAAGAGCAAGTTTAATGCTGGTGAGTACTTCCTATCTACAGCCTCACCAATAACTAATCACAACCATCACACATTGACCCCAAAAGCTTCAGGCACAGGCGAACATGCAAAACACCCGCTTCGGCATGCAAAATGCAAAGCATTAATGCAGGGGAACAATCACTGGAACCAAAATAATGTCCCAAGGTTAGACAGCCAACTTCGATAGTCAAAAAAAAGAATCCAAACTACAAACTATCACACCACACAGAATACCCAACACAACAAAAGACCAACATGACGCTGCGGTTTCATTTCAGTGTATTAAAGTATTGCACAAAACAACCACACTCATGTTGTCATTCACACACATATAAATGATGTCAACCAGAACAACATGACAGATAACTGGTTTAGTCAGTTAATACGGACCCAATCACAGGTTACTTGAGGAGCACATGCAGGGCATAATGAGGGGCGGAGCTTCCCCTGGCAGGCTGAAAGGATCATTTAATATTCATTCATTCATTAGATTTTTCCCCTTCTGCTTGTTTTGTATTCCTTACAGCCAACAGTACTGCACTGTGGTCTATTATTATAGTAGCATCACTTATTAAATATATTTTATATGAAAATACTACAGGGTCATATGTCCTGTAAGTCTTTTTAATATAAAATGAAACAGCAGTATTCTCAAAAGTAAAAATCCCATTTAAAATCTCCATAGAGCAAATATTACATTAACTCGTTTCATTGCAAAATAACGGTTAAAGACACTATACATAATCCTGAACTAAAACCCAAATCAGAGAAGTCTGTTAGGAAATGGGAACAGGGATGTTATTCTTTCAAAGTATTAGCTTTAAAAAGCTAGGTACTGTAGATAGCAAAGTAATGCAAGTTTAATACTAGTTGGTATGTGATTTTTGTCGTGTTAAAGCATAAGACATCAGTGATTTAAGTACCGAATTAACTACAGTACATGTACTCACTACAGGGTTAGGATTTGGTTTTGGGTTTGGGTTAAGTTTAGTTGCATCATGTAATTATGCATAATTTGTATTATGTGTAATTAGTTATATACAGTATAATTACAAATAGTTATTACCAGTAAATACATGTCACATATGTAACAATGACACTTCAAAAAATAGTCGTAAAGATTTAATTTGCATTTTCAAGTACTTGTTGCACCAAGATGGTTTAGTACATGGTTTAGTTCAAGAAATGTAACATTTCTAAGGTGCAGAATTTTTCAATCTCTATGGAGAAAATTAATGGGGAAATACTTGTGTAACACAAAGTGGGCAGTCACTGTTGAGTTGTAGTGTGTTGTTTTTCTTAAAAAAGTCTAAATGTCTTTTCAGCCAACCGATGTGAGTTCATCCTAAGGTAGGGAGAATTTCCACAGCAGAATTGGGAGGAAATTAAAAGCATCCCACAGAGGGGGCCCGACTGAACCCAAGGGGAGGAACTGCTCCGACTACGAGGCAAATCCCTTGTGGATGACTAGGGTCAGGCACTCAATTGGGGCTCTGATTGTAAAAGTCTGGGGTCTTGTACCTGTTCATTTGACAGAATTGGACTCGTCTGAAAAGGTTCTCATGAGCAGGGGTCTGGCTGAAGACTGAGAGGAATGGCTGCCCCCAACATTCGACTGACCCAGCTTTTTCTGAAAGGGGGTGGTGAAAGACACTTGAACACCATGGATCGGACACACACATACCCACTCAAACACACAACTGCGGTACAGTAAATCCTTTAAAAATAAGACAAAACATGGTGAAGGATGTTTATAATGATGAGATGTCATATTTGAGGGCACAATAATGTGTTTGATGTGTTTTCTAACATAATCCCTCACCCCTTTTGTGACCCACACAAAAGTCAGCTAAGACTCAAACAAACTCACAATATAAACCCACAAAGAGACGGGTCCCGATTCCAGTTCCTTAATGATTCAGTTGGCAATTATTATTTTAATATATAATTGATCCTAACTACACTACTGTATAAAAATGTGGGTGAGTGAGATTTTGTTTTTCAAAGAAAATAATACTTAAAGTGCCTTAGGACATTTATAATGATATAACAGATTTGTATTTAAAACAAATACAGTTCTTTTGAACATTGTATTCATAAAAGACAAAAAAAAAAATGTACCATAGATTCCACCAAAATATTAAGCTGCACAAGTCTTTTCAACATACACATTAAAAACAGTAATTTAAAATTGTAATAAAATTTCACAGTATTACTGTTTTTTTCTGCATTTTTGAAAACTTTTGAACGGGAGTGTATATATATATATATAATAGAATGTTTGGGTAACACTTGGGCATTACTTTGACTAATTCAAGAACCGGTGTTGCCCTTCTACCCCAAAGTCAATCTATTGTACCGTACTTAGCACCTAGCTTCAAATTGTAAAAATCGAATAAAAAGAAAGAATAATCGCATTATGGTGTATTTATGTTTAATTATGATAATATTTTAATTACTGTATTGCCTTTTAAATTGCTTTTTGCACACACACATACATACATACATACATACAATACAACATATATATATATATATAAACAAATAAATAATCGAATATCACATTCTTATTTTAAAAATGGTCAAAGTTAAAAAAAATCCCCTTTCTTCTCTGTTCTTTCATAAATATATATGTATATATTGCGATTCCCAACCCTAACAAGACAAACACTCTCTCACACACACACACACACACACACAGATCTCACATTGAATCAAACAGCCCAAATGCACCCATAAAGTCATAGTGGTTTGGGTGGGGAGTGGAGTAGGCTGGGCCGAGCACGCATGCAGGAAACCCTGTATGTTTGTGTGCTGCATTCTCCTGGCTGGCCATGCAGAGACAGCAGGCACCTGGAACAGGCAGCTGAAGGAATCCACATCATACCCTGCAGCCCTTACAGACGCACACTGAGGACCACCCAACACAGCTTTTGGACACAATTCTTGCACAATGCTTCAAGACATACACCCACTCAAAAAACTGCCACCACGATATACCGTTTGACTGACAATCCAAACCCAGAACCCGTGACAAACACATTTGAGCTAGCGAAGAACACCTTACAAAGAGGGTGCAGAGACAAACGGGTGGAGAGAAGGCAAGCAGGACACTGAAGATACAGACAGGCAACCCAAAGGAGGAGGGACAGTGAGACAAAACAGCAGAAGAGGAGCAAGCAGAGAGACCTCAGTCACTCCAGGAAAAGCTGTGAGTGCTAGCAGTCTGCGACAGCATGAAGATAGTGGATGTCCCAGAGGAAGGAAGACGTCGTTTCATCTATGGCACAGCACATAAGGTGGGCAAGAGACCAAAGAGGACAGGAAAATTAAAAGAAGATCATGGGTAAGAAAGGGTGGGAGTAAAGTTATGGGGGTAGAGATAGAGAAACAAGAGAAATGTGACAGATTAACGCGATTAAATATGCAAGTGAAAAGCTCCAGTAACTAGAACCCTGACTATGTGCTGTTTGATTCAGCAGAAAGTTGACCAGCTCAGCATGAAGAAGTATCTATTAAAACAGTCTAACTCTCCTGGTGAAAATTGATTGCCACATACCGGTAAATACATTTATGGTCTGTAGAATAGAATATTAAACTATCAGGACTTTTTTTTAGTAGTGTATACCATTCAAAAGTCTGGGGTTAGTACGATTTTATTTTTTCGAAAGAAGTCTCAACAAGGCAGCATTTATTTGATCAAAAATACAGTAAAAACACAAATATTGTGACATTGTCAAATCAAAACTTTTGAATTGTGAAATTATAAAATTTGAATACGTTTTAAAATGTAATTTATTTCTGTAAACTCAAAGTTGTTTTTGCCTAATATTTTTGTGGAAACAGAGATTATTGTTTTTTTAATATTATACATGCATCTAAAAAAAAGTATTAACTTCTTTCAAAAAAATGTACTGACCCAAACTTGAATGGTAGTGTAGATTCTGAATTGTTGAGCTTCAATTGTATTTGTAGTAAAATGAAAATAAACACACCTGTTCTATATTAATGAGCATAGTGGTTTAATTTTCAATAATAGTGACTAAGTTCAGCCGAGCTTGACTTTAAGCCAGCATCACAGCTCATTTGCATAAGGTTTGAACTGCAAATACTTTTTACAGCATTTTCAACAAGTTGCAGTCATTCATAAAAAATGCTTTACAATGTATTAATAGAGTGCAATAGAGTAATTCTGTTTTTTCTTATTCACGTTCTCAGTCTTTCTAGGGACCTGTAATTTACATTGGTCAATAAAGACCAAGTTTTCTTATCTAATGGAGTTCATTTGGCTATAATTATAAAATCATTCTTAAAGATGACAATTGAATAAACGACATCACATTGACATCAATGACACAAAATTTCTCCCCATTTGCCATTTTAATTGACACATGGCATTCTCGGAAGGGAAGCGACACCTACCTGTGCGGAAGCAGGGGGCAGATTAGCACCGTATGCTCATCTCTGGCCTGAAAGGCTTCTTAACCAGCGTCACAAATATTAGCAACTCCCCACAGCGGGTGCTCACTTCTTTAAATAATTCAAATTACTGAAGGGGTCTAATTATCGTTTATAGATTCTAACTGCGGTACATGTTAGCTGGTTGGGTAGACACTGACAGCAGCACAGAGTGATGCAAGTATTTATGTCACTATTTAAGTCAGAGTGATACATGGGACAAAAAGCTACAGGAGAGTAGGAGAGGACATCGAAGAAGAGTGATGTTAACAATTAGACTGATTGACTTCCTGTCTGTTTGACCAACCCCAACAATCCAAACTGTTCAGAGCTTTGAAACAAGGCAAAGAGTTCTGTTAGGAAAAAAGTCAATGGTGTAATTCATGACAGTCAGGGGAAGTAAGGAAAAGAGACACTTGAGAAGTGACAGTTTAAGAAAGAAAAAAAGGTCCTAAAATGTAAAATAAGGCCGGGGGTACAGGGGATTATTAAATGTGACTGAATGTCCTAAACAGGTGTGACGTGATAAAGCAACAAATGACAAACCATCTCTCTACCATGTAAATCAGAGTTTATATGTGCTAATAACCAGCCATGACCACACCAAGCAACAGTGCATTTTGGCCTTCTACACTGGTCCTAAAATCCTGGTCAACATAACTGTGAATTAAACATCTAATATCTTCTAATTGGCCATGACTGCATCACGTCATGCCTGGTTAGGACACGGTGTAAGATGACAGAGAAACAGAAGAGAAGGTAAATAAGGAAGAATAAGGGATAATAGGATGGATATGGTCGAAATGAAGAATTGAGGAAGTCAGAGAGGAGTAAAAACGTGTGAGAGAAGTATACCTGTCGTGAATGGGGGCCTCTGGGCTTGCGGAGAACCACCAAAAGGAGCTCTGGCAGAAGACTGAGGAGAATGAGGATGATGATAACCAGCCAGGCAGACACTGAACTTAGCATGTTAGCAAACACAAAGTACAAACGCTGCTGCTTCAAAAACGGCCTAGAAAATGAGAGCAAGAGAGAGGGAAGGAAAGAGAAAACAAGAGTGTAAGACAAGTTAACTCATGCGATTAAACATAGGCTAATTTATATAATTTATCTAAACTGATAATTATATTTGCTTCATTCTACAAATCAGAGCTGTACAGTGAAGCCGCAACACACACACACACACACAAAATGGTGGTTTCCTCACCATATGATGCCTCCCCAGAAGAAACTGAAGAAAACATAGAAGGCCAATGAGCCCCAGATCACAAAATGGTTGATCCACGTCCAGTGCCGCGTGTCTAAAGCCAGCTGGGAGAAGGAACACAGTCACTCTCTGACAAATGAAGATCTGAGATATTCTTTTATAGTCTAGAAGTTTGAGACAAACTAATCAAGCCACTAACCTTCAATGTCACAGTGAAAACAAGGACTGTAAAGACAATTGTTCCATAAGACCAGTTTCCGAAGACCTGTAAAAGAAAGGAGTAAATCAAATGCAGTTCCCGCTTTTTCATTCATACAGTTCTTAAAGTCAGTTCTTAAAGTCATATTGCTGTATTATCCATTATTTATCTGCAAACAATTTTTTTTAATGGTTCAGGTACCCTTAAGGTGTTAAGAATTGCATGAGGGCGGGACAACCTGTCACTCACATGACATCACAGCAGTCTCAAACCACAACAAACCAATCAATTCCTGATAGACAAAATCAAGCCCCACCCACTTTAAAAAGCAGAACAGCTCTAACCTGGCCATTATCCTGCAGTGCTGGATTGCTGAACAGGAAGCGGACACCAAAGAAGAACATGAGACCCTGAAAAATTCCTAATACTGTCCAGTAGAGGAAGGGACGCCAGCGTAACATGGCATTTTTGGCTATTTCTCTGTAAGAATGATAAAAACACAGTACATCAGCAACAGCATGGTACAAATTAAATAAGCAGAAGAGTTGCAGTGCAGACTGGCACCTGTAGAGGGTGGCATTGTCCAGCAGAACCTCTATGGCCATGTGCTGTTCCAGCAGGCTGTAGGCCAGAATGGGCATGGAGGTGAAGCAGATGTTGTACATCGTCAGATAGGCTGCGTCGTACAGGGGCTGGGAAGGGGAGCGAGGGAAAGGACGGGGCACCGGGGAGGTTAATACCACAATGAGGACGTCACACATATGCACACAATCTGAGCCACATGCAATGGTCACTCTGGAAAACGTGATGTCATTAGACCAATTACAGGAAATCACAGCTGAGAATTGGTTAAGAGCTGTTTCTAATATTTTTTTATCGATTGTAGAAGTGACGGGACAATACTACAGGAGAAAGAAGGAAAAAGATGGGACACAACTGATATACATATAAATATCAGTTCAAAGAAGGGTAGAGAGAAATGCAGAGGAAAGACGCAAAGTCAAGAGCAAAGGCAGAGGAGAGGGACCTGCTGGGACTTAAGTCTCCAAACAGGCCCTTTATTTGCACATACCTGCTGAGAGTATCCACAGAAAAACTGGTAAAGGAACTGAGGTAATATGAAGCAAAGATTCTAAGGGAGAAAAAAAGGTTTAAAAGAGTCACTAAAATAACTACCTTTATATTTATAGATTGAAACATGGGCCGCTGGATGCCAGATGTACCTTATAAAAGAAGTACTGGACAAGATGAGCAATGCGCACATAGTAGAGATGCCCATGAGCCAGCAAAAGCTTCTTTAAGTGCTTGAGTTTAGGGATGGCATAATCACTGTTCCTCACAGCTTGACGACCCTCCTTACCTTTAACACCTGAACACACAATGGAACAGACAACACCATCACATTCCACCACCCAAAAAAAAAAAAAAGCTAAGCACTTTAATGCACTTTAACAATGTACACTACCATTCAAAAGTTTAGAGTCGGTAGGACTTAGGATTTGATCAAAAAATAACAACAGTACAACAATTTAAAATAACTGTTTTCTATTTGAATATATTTGAAAATAATTTATCCCTGTGATGGAAAAGCTGAATTTTCAGCATCATTACTCCAGTCTTCATTGTCTCATGAACTCTCAAAATCTACACATTTTATTTTCCAAATTGAAAAAAGTTGTGCTGATATTTTTGAGGACACTGTGATACATTTTTTTTTTAGGATTCGTTGATGAATAAGAAGAGCATGTAAAAGTTATTTGACATGCACATCTTCTGTCTTGCTGAATAAAAGTATTCTTTCAAAGTATTTCTTAAAAAGTAGTTAACGGTAGTTTACATGCATGCACAATGAGATCTCACCAATGCCCACATGTGCCTCAAGAATCATGCTAACGTCATTGGCCCCATCGCCAATGGAGAGAGTGATTGGGGAGCCTTTGGAGTTCTTCACCATCTTCACGATCTAAAGTGAGTAAAAGAGAATTTTAGCCAACTAATTCATAAAGTATAAGTTTATATTATTATAGGCACCATTAAAAGACACCAAAGCGTCAGCCTGCAGGTGTGACCTGAGCTTTCTGCAGGGGTGCCATGCGGCAGCAGAGCACGGCAGTGCTGTTCTGGCAGATCTGCAGAAAGAGGCTCCTGTACAGGCTGGCATCTGCATCACGGGGTGGGTTCATCAACAACGTCAGCGTAGCACCATCTATGATGAAGCCGTACTCCTGATTTGCTGTAGACCAACTCCTGTGGTACAAAAATGACAGTAAATTAGAGGTCATTAAATACACCCATATTTAAATGCTGGCCGATACGATATGTTCATAATTATACAATTTCTAATGATGTTCATGTTATGACTGATAGCTTATAAATGGCAGATACTAAAACTCCATATAATTTTGTCTAAATAAATAAAAAATAAAACATGTCAAAATTCAAAACAATTGTCTTAAATGCTACAAGTGAATTTAGGCATCACAACTTTACAAGTTAGTTAGTTCAATAACATATTTATTATTATATTTATTCATGATTTTAAACATCAATTTAGATGAGCATTAGTTGACGCATGAAAATTAGTTTAAATTCAAGTATATTCAATATTAACAGATTTTAATATTGATAAAAAATAAATAAAATAAAACTCTACTTGGTCGTATTATATAGTCCATTCCTAAACTGTAACAAAATTCACTAATAAGCCAGTAAGAGGTCAAGGGTCTGACCTGGTGACCCCTGCTTTGACAGGTGGGGCATCCTGCACTGCTCTTCTATGGTAGTCTCGTAACAACTCAAGAAGTTTGTCCTCACGCTTTGTCCTCCCATCCTCCAGAGTCCGCACAGTCAATTCCAGTAGCTCCGTACCCCTCTGGAACAGGCGGCAGGCATAGCAGGTGGACTTGGCAGTCTCCATTTTGTCCCCCGTCAGCACCCAAACTTTTATCCCTGCACCCTGCAAGGCCTCCATGGTCTCCGCTGCCTCTTCCTGAAGTCTGAGACACAAGATATTAAGATGTTAAGCTATCCAGGGCTTCTCTATGAGACAAAAACGTGGCATAAATAAGCCATTTCGGTCACCAACCGGTCCTCTACAGCGGTCGCTCCAATCAAACTCATGCCCGTCTCCACTTGGTTATAAATGGCCATGAGTTTCTCCTCCCTGTCCTGAAGAGCCAGTCTCGCCTCCCTCAGCCCAGCGTCTGCCATGGCATACTCCTCAGCACTCAGCTGCTTAAAGGCAACACACAGTGTACGGTAACCCTCCTGTTGAGTAAAAAGACACAATTAGGCTTTTTCAATATTTAAAAAAGTTAAAAAGTCAATATGGTTATAACATCCTTGTAAATGAAAGACACTGCATTATATTAACATTCTTTAATCTACTGTACCGTTGCATTTCGCTCAACGTGCAACCGAATCCTGTCCACCTCCTCTGGTTTGACTCTTGGGAAGATGGAGGAATCAGCTCCCTTACAGAAAAGCAGCATCTCCCCTAAATAAACAGGTGAGAGACATTCAGTGTTACACATTACAACATAAACTGGGTTGTTGCTAAGTTGCTAAGTGGTTGTAGTGTTCTGAGCAGACAGAGACTGTTTCCATAAATTATCCTTTTTTTTAACCTAACTATTCATTTTGATAATATGTAGCATTTTAACTGTGACAGAAAACCCCCTGGAAAATATGAGCAATAACTTCAGGGTTGATATATCTGCATCTGGCGTGACACTCACGCTTTCAGCATTAATCTCACGCTCTAACGCACATGCAAGAAATGTCACGCCAAAATCCATTTTTCTCCCATCTCAATCCATTAATTTTCTGTTGATGACTAGACTAGACCACAGCGTATTAATAACAGGAGAGGAGTTAAGGCCTGCAGCTGTAACATCTGCCAACAACGTTCTCACGGCAGTATTCTCTGATCGTTGATTCGCTGAAAACCTTGAACCTGGTACGTCAGTTGCTTGTGAAAAGTTCAGAGAGAGCTTAGAGCATACAGTAGGTTTGCATCTGTCTGTGTGCCGAGAGTACAGATTTCAACTATAGTTGCAAACGCTGTCTGACGTGCGTTATTTGCTGAGCGAACCCTTTCAGTTATTGGCCTAAACAAGACTGGCCCCACAGACTGTCACTTGATGGCACCCTGTGATGGGAAGTTCAGATAATTTTACTTTCGAGTCTTTCGTTCATTTGTCATGTGCAGACGCAATGAACGGATTGATCATGAACGGATCGAACCCTGCTTCAGATACAAACCTCTTGCAGAGGCAGTAATCAGGCCAAACTGCCACTATGGTGCATAAAACAGGCCTAATTTGTGAAACTTGTGTGTTGTGGTATTCAGGTGGAGTAACTATTATGTGTCCCTTTTGTTTTCAGATTTCTTATTGTTTAGATGTTGTTGTTTTACATGTTTGTTAGTTGTTATTTAATCACCTCTATCTTTATTTTTTATAGTGCAATCATTAAACTAATTGTATATTTTGAAAAAAAAAAAAAAAACAATTTCCATTCTATTTTTTTCTTTTGTTGTTGCATAAATCAGGGTTTATACTAAGTAAACAAGGACTGAAAGTTTTAAGTTTTTAAGTTTTAAGTTTACATTTTACAGTCTCACTCCAGCCAAAGTCCCAAAGCAACCCTAAAAAATTAAATTAAGAATTTAAAAAAAATCTAACTAATAAAAAAAGAAAATATTTTTTGTGTAGCTATTGGTTAATAAAGGAAAGAAAGAAAATTTCAAACTGTATTTGGGTTCCGGCTTCAATTTAAACCTATGGCATTTTCCTGCTCAGTCCATTTACTACTGATTACTAAAAAGGTCACATCACCACATGTCACATGGTTAAAGTTATCATTAATGTCAACAGAAGAAATAGTGCAGGACAAGTTATCCAATTCAAATCTCTAATCCTGCAAATGAGCAATAGCAAAAGCATCACTAATGATCTCTAGCTCACCTGATTTGGTCTGCACGATGACACTCATTCTTCGTCGGACTGGGTCAAAGTTTAGGACATGAAGCAATTTATACCTGAAAAGTTAAATAAATAATATGTAGAAATACACAAAGCTAATATTAATAACAATAAATCTTCCTTGCAGCTAATTATATATTGCTCTGGGTTTAAAAACATCCATGGATGTAAGAACTGAAGTATATTAGCAATAAAATTGTGTTTGATGAGATGTCAATGACCATAACTTACTCCTCTATATTATTTTGCCTGTTCTTGATCTTCATGTTCTTACTCTCCAAACCAAGAAACGTGAAGCCATATCTAAACAGAATAAAAGTTATGTCAGTAAGTGCCAGCGATCCCACCATTATCAGCCAGAAGAAAAGAAGAAATAAAAAATGCATATCATGGTCCCACCTCATGGCTCCTTTGACCAGTGCGATCTCATCAGGAGAAGATGCGATGAAACATCTTTCCTCCTCTGGCTGGGGAAACATCCCATCAACACCATCAACTTGGTCCCTAGGAGATTCGTCCGCTCCGTCCTCCTTGACCTGCACCGTGTGGCACAGGCACAGGGCCCGCAGAAACAACTCCTCTTTCTCCTAGCAGACAGAAAAATAACATGCTGCTTATGAACATGCATATTTGTGCATGTTTACTTCAATACTTGGAAAAACTTGAAGTACCTTCAAACATCAAAAATACTTGGTAAATAATTGAATAATTTAGCTTCCACCATTGTTTTCATTTAATCTATAATCTATATAATCTATATATTCATGTAAAAATCTATAATATATTATTATACCATTCAAACGTTTAGGATCAAACTTGATGAACATGAGAAAAAAAGAAATCTTACTAGCGTTTTTTTTTTTTTTTTTTATTTAACGGTAGTGTTCATGTTATATAATTAATGTAATGTAATGTAACTTTAACACTTTAAACCCAAAGAAATAAAATACTTACATTGACATAATTAAATTACTAAGCAACAATGAATGAAATAACACAAAATAGGTATCATTTTAAAGTAATGCATCATTTTGATCAACTCTTGTTTCTGAGTAGTCCCTCTAAACCAAGTGTACCACTGGCGGGCACCACCACGAAAAAGTTAATAATCATATTTTTCAAAACTACTGCCTTGATTAGGTATCATTTGAAAGCATAGAGTCTGAATTTTGATCAACTCCAAAGTAGTGCTGAGTAATTTGCTGATAGATGAATAAATCAAATGTTTTTTTTATATTATGTACTGCAATGTGTTGAAAACATACCGCTCAGATAGGCATGTGTCACATGTCATTTGAAAGATCTCATGGAGTCGAATACAAGCAGGATGATTGTTTTGGGCTTTGACAAAACTTTCATCACTTAGATATAAAAGATATTATAACAAACAAAACAAAACAGCTTGGTTACAAATGCTGTGAAACTTTTGATTACTTTATGCTATCACCACAAAATTGGATCTAGATGCAGCTCGCATGTAGGGGAACTACATAAAAAAAGAATTGTCCTCCTACCTTATTTCCTTCCTGAGTTATTGCATGTCAAATAAGAAAGATATGTAAAATTTCCATTGAGCACACTTTTTTGTCCTTTATCAGCAGTTTCTCAGCATGAGAATGCCCAAATGAAATGAAAATGTATATTTACTAAACGTTTTCTATCAAACAATACCTACCTTTTAACTGTCTTAACTATAGTTTTGGATAAATGACTCTTTACTTTTGTATGTGTCACAACTTGTCACAATATGGTCACAAGGACTTAAAGGGTTCATCAAAATTGGTAGAGAACAGTAAAATGTCACTGATATCAGTACTTTATTATGTGCAAAGAAAGAGAAAGAGGAAGTGCTCTCAATAGACCATCCGTTTATAGAGCATATTAGTGTATTATAAAAAGGGTTTTATATTTTTGTGTATTATATTATATAACTTAAGTCCTTCAAAGCCTGACATTTTATGTTTACTGCCTTTGTGTTTATATATCTCACCTCAGAAGATTCATAATTGAAAAGGTTTACATACCGAGGTGAACACATTCAACAACACGGTAAGAGAAAAATCAATCCCATCTGAGGTCCTTTGGGTCTCAGAATGAGTGTAACTCACCAGTCCAGCCTTCTGCTGCAGTTTACTCACAGGCCCGTCTGTCACAGTGAAGCCGTCCAGCTCGTCTCCGTGTCTGTACTGGAAGCCGTCTATACAGCACTCGATGAACTCCATGTTGTTCTGGGTCAGCGTGCCCGTCTTGTCTGTGAATACATATTCCACCTGCAGGGTGCAGACAAATATTGACCTTAACAACTATAAACCCAGGCAATAAACCACTCCTTTCCAAATTACCAGGGTCCAACGATAAGAACGGACAATTAATTTGTGACAAAACCAGTCTGCTTGCATAAATCAGTTTAACGAAGCATAGCCTGTAATTTAGAGCAATCATCTGCATAACCAGCCAAGAATGATCTATGACCTCACTGCCAATGGAAGAGCCAGGGACAGCTCAGATTATGTTCAAGTCATGGTTTACTTTCATTTGGCCGTTCAGACATTTCCAAATACATTTCCACATATGTGAATGACATGAACATATGAAGGCACAAAACAGTCAGATATGCCAAAGCAATCCTGTGTCTAACCTGGCCAAGTTCCTCATTGAGGTCTGAAGTGTTGACGAGCGCGCCCTCTTGGATCTCCGGGTCAAAGAAGTCTTTATCCCAAGTGATAAAGAAAGAGCCCAGGAATTTTTGCATCTCCACAGTGACGTACATGGACACAGGGATTATAAAGTTGAAAAGGACCATGAAGGACAGGAAGTCTGTAAACATCTTCAAATACTGAAATAAAGACAGAAAACCTGCATTCAGTCTCTTCAAAGCCCAATATAATGTCTGGAACAGCTTAAACAACAGGTTAAACATAAAGCTATTTCCTAATTATGATTTATTAAGTATGATCTATGTAAGAGCTGACCACATCCACGAGAGACCAGATTAACTTGTAATTTATATTAATTGCATCAAGAATGACTGATGATATAGAGGGAGTTGTTACCGTAATTGATTCAAGCAATCGTGTTCAAATCGGTCAGATGTGAAATCCACAGACTGCTCACCATATTAGTGTCTTTCTCCTTCTGCGTTTTCTGGTTGTACCAGGGCTCGTCCTGACCTTCTTTGCTCTGCCATACATACTTTAGTGTAGTACACACAACAGCTTTACTGATGAGGATACACAGATACACCAACAGAAAGGCATTGATGGATCTAGAAAACAAGAGGACACATGTTTATGGTTACATGATTAAGTACATATGATATACATCACAATAAGATTTTGTTTACAATTTATTTGATTTATTACGTATAGTTGCCGTCAATATTCTTATTATAGGAGATAAATAAATAAACACAATCAATAAATATAATCTCTGCATAAAGATAATTAAATAATGGTTATATCAACTCCGGAAAAATATTCAATTAAGTTTTGATTCATATTATCTTGATTCACTCGATTTGATAATGATTCAAGAATTTTTAACTATAATGTTAAAACACTATTTGCACATGAACCAAAAAACAGACATAGATTAAAATATATATCTTAGGATTTACAATCAATATTGGCTTGTTAAAATGAACTTGAGTAATAATCCGAAAATCAATATTTTGAACCTTACAACACACTGGATTATAAAACTGCTCCTGTCACTCACTTTTCAACAGCGGATCGTTTCTGAGATTTGCCCTGGTAGTTGAGTGCCATCTTTGTCTCCATGCCAGTGTATACTGCGACACCTTTAAAAGAAAAGGTAATGAAGAGTGATTCGGGAGAATATAATTCGTCAACAGAAGATTCCTTTAATTAAATCAAAAGATTCCTTTAATTAAAAAGTGCCAGGACCTACCATTAATCTTCTTGGTGTTTTTCAACGTAGCACCTTTGAGGAGAAGGTTCTCTGGGCCCAAAGATCTAAATTAAACCATAAAAACAAACAATTAAGTCAATAAAGACACATTCTGGCATCCAATCTCACGTTTAAGTGGCTCCTAATGACCAGCATTGCTGGAAGTATGTAGGCAAGTTTGGCCTAGCCCACCTTTGTGAAGGACACGGCATAGAGACTCATAAAAACATTTCAAACGGCCCAGTGACAAATGGAAGAACGTGCAGGGCTTGAAAAGCTGCCAGGCCGGCTTTACTTTAATGCTGCTATGGCGTTACGGGTCGATGGAATAATGATCAGAGGCTAATGCAAAGGGAAACGAGAGCTGGAGTGACTATGAGGTACAGTGGGATATAGTGGGCCCATGGGAACAGACCAAAGACAGTCTCACCTTACTGCTGGTTCCTGGTCCGCCTTGTAGATGTGCATTCGGCCCACAAACCTGCAGAAAAGCAAACAGGCTACAGTCAAGCAGGCTCATACACGTTCTCTCAAACACATGGGAAAAGGTTGAACGATTGTGCAGACGTAACATCAATATAATCAAGAGTACTTGATGAGGTCAATCTGAAAAAATTCATCAGCCAAGGGCCACGGCGGCAAATTACTGACGCCATCATGCACACGCATTAGCGTTTATTTTGTTTTATATAGACTCCTTCCCCATTATAGAGGCTTGATGATAATATCTGTATTCCAATACAGTACACTATGCAAATAAGCCCTGTACGAAATGAACCATTTACAAGGAAGATGCTCATTGGTGATGACCCAACAGTCTGGCATATTGGCAACAGCCCTTTGAAGTTTTTTTTTTTTTAGACTGAATTTTAGCAGGCGACATCTGGTGCTCTAGAAATCAGAAATGCAAATGTTTTTCCTCCTAAAGAGTCTATAAAGAGATGTGCTTAGTGATAGGGGGCGCTGGAGTCAAAAAAACTGCTATAACAGTTGGACTGCCTCTCTGAACTTGCAGATTGCGTTTGTTTCAAGGTCTGTTTGTTCTTATTACTCAAGCAGAGAGGTCAGATAGTGTTTGACCATTCCATGAACCACACTGTTAGCTGCTGATCTGAAATCAGACTGGATCAACATGTTACAAAAGAGGTTTTCTTGCAGTACGCTCACAATGACTCATGTTTTGGTGGCAGTGAAAGGTTTGAGTTTGTGCTATCAATGAGTTCGTACTTGTAGAGGTCAGGCTGGGGTTGTTCACACTCAATGGTGGCCGAGAGAGCCTGTAGGTCCTTCTCTGTGTCTGGCACCGTGTAGTGTGTCTGAGGGAAAGACAGGCAAATTAATATTGCAGGTCGCGTTGAACATACAAATGCACACGGATGGAAGAGGGAGAAAGATGAAGAGCAGAAAAATGATGATGATGATGACGACGAGGAGATCTGGGCCACCTATTTAAAGAGTTTGACTAAAGCAAAGTAAACCTCACCAGGTGATTCTTTTTTTAAAAGAGCAAGGAAAGAAAAAAGAGACACCTTTTTAAAAATAACATCCATAATCAAGATAATCATATTTGTGCCCATGTAGTTACTTAGTAAGAGGAGCAAAAGCTCACTTTATGGTTGGATTCTCCATCCAGGCTGGCTGTGGTGACAAAACAAGTGTCATCTTCACGAGTGGACTGCAAAAGTATCAGGTCACAGGGAAAGATCTCGTCCTCCACCACTTCAACCACATCGCCCACCTGAGCAGAAACACGTCGCACAAAGCACTGTGTGACACAACCAAAGATTCACAAACAAATTTGACATTTTCCATTTGTGGTTTTGTGTGTCAACTTGCTGTCTGAGAGATTAGAGAGTGAGAACACGCAACTGGTATTGTTTCTCCTGCAGAAGAGTTTCAGATATTTCACTATCGATATGTATAGAAAAAACTATTTTTGACAACACTAGATTGACCTTAGTTTATTATTTCAGATTCCTTTTTAAAAGACTACAATAGAAAATGTATATTAAAGTAAATTCAACCCACCAAAGTGGCTAGTACGAGTGACTGTGTTACACACCACCTCTGAAATCCACACGCATATGGCAGGTTGGCGGGTGTTAGTGTCAAGCCTTGTGTAGGAGTATTAATACAGTATGAGAGAGTGTTTGGGTATATTATTGTCAATATTAACAGAGTTTAATGTTTGTCAGGGTTGCATTTATTTGATCAAGACTTTTAAACGGTAATGTATGCTACAAAAAGGGTTACAAAAATTGTCTTTAACAAATAATTAAAATCTAGCAAGCTGTATTGACAAACACTTCCAAACATCTTTGACTCTAAGGGTTTCATAGTGTACAGCGTATGTGTTCCATTCCATATTATACAACAGCAAGGATACACTCCCAGCTGTGAACGCCCACAGTGTGCATACTTCTTTGCCACATGTGAAGTATGGCAGCGTGCCACACCCTGCTCCCACACAGTGCATGTTATATGAAAGACTTGGCAAGAGTGCAGCAACAGAAAGATACCTTGATCCTCTCGCTCTCCTTCTTCACTGACCGCCCATCCTCTAACACCGTCACCGGGTACTTATTCACCTCGTAGTCTGCTTTGTGTCGCAGCCAGTCCTCATAACCCTGAAGAGAGACCGACAATGAGAGAACGGTATGCTGGTGGGTGTGAAAGCAGAAGGGGGTCAAATGAGGACTGAGCCAGTCTATTTCTCACATGCAAAAAAATTGGGCTGCCCCCTAATAGTGACTAAACGTTAGTCGACTAGAAGAGGCTTAATTTTATTTTTTTGCTTAATTTTTTATTTTTTATTTTTTAAACAAAAACGGTGGGTCCTTGTGGTAATTACCGTATGTCGGGCAGGAAATCCAAACTTTCACCTATCATCCGTTGACCTCACATATGGCTTATCATTTAAAACATGGCTGCACGCTCTAAAGTACTAGTTGTTTAAGGAAACAACTTAAAATACTTTGTCATTTTTAGTCACACAGATAACAGTAATATCTCATTCAAGTTGGGTCTACTTTGGTTTGTGTAAACTCTATACAATATAAAAATAAAGAAAAAAAAACAGGATGCGCGGCAAACTTTATATGTGCGCTCGAGAGCGGAATTGTATATTTATATATATATATATATACACACACACACACACAATATATATATATATATATATATACACACACACACACACACACACACAGTATATATATATATATATATATATATATATATACACACACACACACACACACCTATATTTGTTAAAAACTCAACAACTGTTAAGTATTCTCCACAGTATATATTTAAGTATTTTAATTAATATAAACGTGCAATTAATCGACTAATGGGCTAAATGAACTGCTAATAGTCAGGCGGCATCCCTTCAAAAAATAAAAATTCACAAATAATGAATAGTTTTCACTGCACACAACAGGCCTGTTTTAATAATGGAAACTGTGCGAATGAGCTGAGGGAGTCGAGGTATTTGAAGTCAAAGTGGGCTGGGGTCACACGGGCCCCCTGGAATCTTATTTCAAAGCCCAATTAAGGCCTGAGCCCCTCTCAGTGTGAGGCCACAGAGATCTGGAAGGAAGTCCACCTTCCATTGTGCTATTCTAAAAAGCTTGCGGCAGGCCGGTGGAAAAAGTTGATCCTAAAACAATACATCTAAAGCTGTGAGAGGACCCCTGTGTTATGACAAGCCCCCGGATCATTTGTTTTGTGCGTGCGAGATGGACTTTGGGGTCCGGCTGGTGTCGGCATTATTTAAACAGTGACACACGGCTATAAAACATCAAGTGCTTAAGCGATAGCCAGAGAAAGGTGGCAGGTGAATAAAAAGAGAGAAAGAAATGAGAAAAGAGTTCAAAAAGGATGAAAAGAGCAGGCCGAGGCATAAACAGAACATAATTCAACTAACCTGTTTGATGGCCGTCACTGTGATGACAAAAAACAAAGGTAAACCACTGGTCACGGGGCTGGTTGGGGTATCAACAATCACCTTTAAGAAAGGACACACATATGTAACATTATTTACATTTACAGAATCATTTTACTTTGAAATTGCATCAACATTCATGCATTGCATTGACATTCATAATTGAAATCTATAGGGCAATATATTTAGGAGAGCAGAAATACGACGCTTACTTTGTTTGTTGCTGTTTATTTCAATTCTCCTGTTCAGAATGCGTATTATTTAAGATTTAAACATCCGCTCAGCAGTGGAGCTACCATTCAAGGAGGATAAACGTTTAGTTTTCGGTTACTTACTACTGTTATTCCTGTGGGTGTATTTGTCTCTATATCAACAATATTTTTGGGATAAGTTAGTTGTATCATGTCTCTTACTTGTGAGTAACTTGCACAAATTGTCATGATAAGAGTTGAAAATTGTCAGTCATGCCAACAACATGCCAAATAAATGCTGTTCTTTTGAATTTTTTTATACAAAGAAGCATGAAAAAAAAAAATTTTTCCAGGAAAATATTAAGTAACACAGCTGTTTTCGACATTGATAAGAAGAAATGTTTCTTGAGCAGAAAACCAACATATAAGGATCATGTGAGTAATGGCTGCTGAAAGTGGGCAGTAATAAATGACATTTTAAAATATATTCAGTAGTACTTAAAAAAAAAAACTAAAATGTACAGTATTAAATATAGATATTCATTTTGACATTAGTGTTTTGTTTGATTTAAACTGTTGTATGAGACAAATTTATTTCTGTATGGTCACAGTGAGAAACTGTTCAAAGAGTTGAGGCTAACTTTTGAACTCAGAACAGATAGATTTGAAAAATCTATTAATATTAGTCCAAAATTATGAATATTAGTCCAAAATTAAAGACCTAAAAAAGGCAGGTAGAGATATGACAGAGCAATGAGATGTTAATGTTTCGTTGATGTTTGTATTTTAAAAATGCAGCTGGACAGGAAAAGCATGAGTCACATCATAACCTTGAAAGAGTGAGATTGAACATCTAAGATCCGATTGCTGAAAACAGTAAACACCAGTCTATCTTTAACGTGAGCGGTTTGTCACACAGTAGGAAGTACAAACATCACTCTTTCAGGAGAAAAAAAAAACACTTGGTGTATTTATACTTCCTCTATGTTTGTGTATATACGGAAGAGAAAAAATAGGGTAGGTTATAAAGTCAAACACACAGAGGTGTGAACATTTTGTTCGTCCAATGAGCTACGGCCAACACGCAACACACTGCATCTCCCTCTCACACACACAGGGACCCTGCAGGACCTGCCTGAAAGCAGCCAGTCAAAAACCACATGCCACAGTGAGAAACTACTTGGTTAGTCCCGTAACCTCAGTTCTCTGAGTTAGGGAACGAAGTATTGCACAGCTATGTAGTGGGAAAACCAATATGTATTGGGACCAGAACATGGTGAGTTGCAATTGCTGCCATATACACTTTGAGCGTGGAAGGGGAGCAGCCCACGTCCAACAGCTCCAGTAGGAATGGGAGAACCACTGATATTTCAAATGACTCTTGGTCTTTATGGTTTTTCGAGCACCAGCTGAAAAAAAGAACCCATTTCGAAGCATAGAAGCGCTGAGTCAACGAAGTCCTTGCTTCAGATATGGTGTTCAACACCTTCACAGGAAAGTGCCTGGATACCTGTTTAGGGGCCACACATGGAGGGCCCATAGATTGGGCCACGGATGCCATATCGTTCCCTGAGTGAGGAGGTCTTTCCTCATTGAGACAGGCCATGAAGCTGTGTTTGGTAACTGAACCAGCTCCGGAAACCACGGTCTGGATTTCCGGCTCTCTCTGACCTGTGGAATCATCGAGACGGGGGGAAAAGCATACAGGGGACAGTTGGGCCAGACTGACCATCTGTGGGTTCAGGATAGAGGTCTTCACAGTGCACCTGAGACCCGTCGGCCCGGGACCGGTACGGGTTCGGGTCTATATTTTAAATGATCAGCCGGGTCCGGGTCGGGTCCGAATCTATTACTTCGGATCCCGGGTCTGTTTAACATTGTGTGTAATACCCGTGCGATCGGAGTGCAATCTCAAGCGCGTGTCATGTTGCTATGGCAACCAGAGCAGAGCTTCCGCCAAACCGCGCTTTACATTTTCTCCAATGTTTATAATAATATAAATGAACCCTCTTGTTTAATCTTAGAGTTTTGGTGGTCAGATTCAGACTCAATGAAGAGCAGAGAGCACAGATATGACCAAGCTGAACAAGCAATCACAATTATCTAGCAAGTTATTATGCGAGTTAACTCGAGTCAGAATGTACATGTGCAAGGTTGCATTTGTCATCTATCACCGTGACATCAAGTGGACTTTTAAAGCTGAAATAATGAGTGGATTAAGCTTGGAATAACGAGAGAAATAACATGGATAGAACTTTCTTGTCGGTGGATTGTAATGCATCACAGTCAGTCAGGTACTGTTACAAGGAAGTGAGACGACGGCTACTTAAATTAGGTGAGACAAAAAGTTTTATTTTTCGCAACTCGTGTGAAATAATATGTGACAATCGGGTCCAGTCGGGTTTGTGTCTTCCTGCCGGGTTCGGGTTCAGTTTTCAAATAATAGACGGGTCCAGGTCGGGTCCGGGCAGTACATTTATGGCATTTCTCGGGTCTGCACGGGTCCGGGTCCAACTTTTGAAATGAACGACGGGTCCGGGTCGGTTCGGTGTAGCACATTACGGGTCTCTTCCGGTTCGGGCATGAATTTTGGGACCCGTGAAGACCTCTAGTTCAGGATGGGTTGCCGGGGACTAATATAGGCTGAGGCCACGCCCCCAGACAGGCTATGACCTGTAAAGACGCACAGTGATTGGTCGCACAGTAAATCGAGAAAAAGGAGCTCTCCCACTGCATATAGCTACCGTTCGAAAGGGAACAGCATTTTACTGCAGAAAACAGCTCCAACACAAAGATGCCGTGTGTGGGATATCTGTGCCAAAATTCCTGTAGGGAGAGAGTGTAAAGCCGGCAGGACTTCAGAAGGTGAAAGCCCCTCTCAGACCAGCAGCACTCCAGCTCAGAGCTAATAATCCCCATCATCCTGATCACACACACTTTTAACACACACAAACACCACATTCAGCCCTCACCCAGTCTAAGACCAAATAATTCCAAACAACCTATCTGAAACATCCACACACACACTTTACTTTTGGACTCGGTCATTTAGATCTAAACCGCTTTGCGCTGGGGCCAATCATGTAACATCCCCCTCCACACCCGACACGCAAGCCGTTGCTTAACATCCACAAGTTAGAGCTTGCAGACTAACCCAAATACACTCACAGGCATCTTTAAATCCTACTCTGCAGCTTATGCTAAAATATCACGCAACACCATGAGAAATGAGCGCCATATGTATGCACGCATGTTCACAGAAGTACATAGATCTTTCAACGGTGGCCCATTAAGTGTTAAACATCGCTCAGTTGCCAGGTGTCTGCTGACAGCTGTTTAGCAGTGCCATCAGGAACAGAAAGAGGAGGAAGAGAAAGGGTTTTCCTGCCAACTCACCACATCTGCATGAGAAAGCAACATTAAAGGAATACGCCTAGTTAACTCAATTTAAAAACCTGTATGAATTTCTTTCTTATGGAAGAAGCATTTAAACATTTTCAGATTGAACTTGAAATTTCGAGCAAAAAAAACTGATGTTAATATAAAAAAGTACTAAAATATGTTTGTAATTATAAAATGCACATTTAAGTTTAAGTGGTTAAGAGAAAGCCACATGATGAATCAAAGTATAATAACTAGCTTTACCACTAGCTGAGGTACATAGATACAATACTAAAAAAAATAATGCAATAAATATTTATTTAACAACATAAGAGGTAACATAACAAAACCTACTATACAACAACTGATAACAACAAAAAGAAATAAAAAGAAACAATTGTTTAACTGTAGAACCATCAAATATCAGGAAATCATGGTAATGTCAATTTATAATTTAAAAAGAGACCATTTAAACTGTATTTTTACTGTAAAATTACATGGTTTTCCATCATATAGCCTATAGTAAGGGGACTTATCCATAATCAATTAAATTACCGTAGCATTTTCATATAGGTTTGGAACAACATAAGGGTGAGTAAATGATGTCAGCATTTACATTTTGAGGCAAACCATCCCTTGAAATTTAGCAGTTTAGGAAGGTACTTTAGAAACGAAAACACGAAATGAAGCTCTGTCAACACCACCCCTGGTTTCCCTCATGGCACGAGTACTTCTCTCTTTTTTCTTTCTGTCTGAGACAGACCCTTCTCCCCAGGAGCCAGGGCTGAGTCTAGGATTCGGTCAGCAGAAACCACTCTAATGCGCTTGTGGTTCCTACAAGTGATGGATGTTGTGAGAGCCAGCGGTCCCACACATCGTTTTTGTATTTATATATACACTCACCGGCCACTTTATTAGGTACCCCATGCTAGTAACGGGTTGGACCCCCTTTTGCCTTCAGAACTGCCTCAATTCTTCATGGCATAGATTCAACAAGGTGCTGGAAGCATTCCTCAGGGAGTTTGGTCCATATTGACATGATGGCATCACACAGTTGCCGCAGATTTGTCGGCTGCACATCCATGATGCGAATCTCCCGTTCCACCACATCCCAAAGATGCTCTATTGGATTGAGATCTGGTGACTGTGGAGGCCATTTGAGTACAGCGAACTCATTGTCATGTTCAAGAAACCAGTCTGAGATGATTCCAGCTTTATGACATGGCGCATTATCCTGCTGAAAGTAGCCATCAGAAGTTGGGTACATTGTGGTCATGAAGGGATGGACATGGTCAGCAACAATACTCAGGTAGGCTGTGGCGTTGCAACGATGCTCAATTGGTACCAAGGGGCCCAAAGAGTGCCAAGAAAATATTCCCCACACCATGACACCACCACCACCAGCCTGAACCGTTGATACAAGGCAGGATGGATCCATGCTTTCATGTTGTAGACGCCAAATTCTGACCCTACCATCTGAATGTCGCAGCA